AGCCATGGCAAAGGAAAGCAGGACATTAGTGACTGAATTGATTCTTCTGGGCTAAAATCGATCACGCCAGTTGACACATGGTCCTGTTTGTCATTATCTTTCCCATCTCTCTGCTAATCATGATGGGAATGGCTGCACCTTTGTCACTGTGGGAGTCGAAAGGCACCTGAGGATCCCAGTCTCTATCTTCCTTAGCAAGTTCATCTTCTTGAGATCTGGTATACCACTGTTCCTAAAACTGGAGAATTTCTGTGTCATCAGGAGGAACATTTGTGCTTCCAGGTAAAAGGCAGTCATCGGAGTATCACTGAACATCCAGTTTTCTCAGTGTTGCCCTTTGATTGACTTACATAATTGACACATTGCAATACAGCAGGAATATCATTGTCCATTTCTCCTGTGGTGCTGGGACTGTTCAGAGCCCAGGCTCTGGGGCAAGATAGTTCTGATCCTTGTTTTCCAAAATGCTCTGCTTTTCATGGCATTTCCTGACATGTGCATCATCTTCATAGTTCTCTGTTCTCCTGCTCCTTTCGCTCACCAGAAGGCATTCTCCACTTGTGCTTCCATCACACCATGGTTCCCATTTTTTTTTTTTAGGGTATTTCTTGACATAGATACAAAACAGTGTCCTGCAAATGAGGCAGGACTCAAGTGGGATGTGATTTAGTTTTTAATTGATTTTGTGTGGAGAACGGTGATGGAGTCACTGACTTCTGTCTGTCTGTCTGTTCTACCTCAGGATTTGCTATGATTCCATGATTCCTTGCATTTCACAGATGACAAGATGATCTGTGGACACTGCGGTTATTTTAACAAAAAGAGGACACAGAAGTGGCCAGGCTGTAGGTGTGACAGCATGTTTCTGGGTGGAAAACAGCAGGAAAGGCAAAGCACAGGGAACCTGTGGATTCTCTCATCTTGGGAACAACTGGACCAAGCAAGAGACTGTGCTGAAGAGTGTTATGGTTGGGACACTCCTACTTGCAAAAGCATACAAATTCAGTACTGCCATCATCCCCCAAATGCAACCTCACCAGAGACCTCCCAGCAGCAGCCTTTCTGCACTGTTGAGGCTTGTCTAAAGTGCAGGAGATCTGACTGCAGGTGCAAATTGCCTGCGGAATGCAAGGGAATTCCAATATCAATTTACATCACCTCACAGAGAGAAACACAAACTTGCTATGCTTTGAAAATATTTCCTAGAACATGCCTAGACAAAATGGTTTAGCAGTTGCCAGATTAAACCTTTCCTTTGCATACATTACATGTTCTTGTGTCTCTTATCCCAAGACAACCACTGCTATGTCCAATTACCCTTTGCCACTGTTTTTGGATTTAGTAGAAGCCACCCTTCTTCTACAGAAGCAGAGAAGGACAAATTAAAGGATGCAGCATGCAGCACATGTTTAATGAATCAGAACAAGGAAATAAAATGACTCTAAGAGTGGATAATGAGTGTGGGGAACAGCAGGAACAGACAAGAATTATTCCTACAGCAGCACTGTCACAGGACCCTCATTTTGAGGCCAAGAATTGTAGAGGTGAAAGCATTCACTTTGAGGCTGGTGTTGAGGAGTTACTAACAGAGATCTCTGAGGAGAAAAGACAACTGTTATATTTTCTAAGAAGCTCCACTTGAACGCAAAACTGCAGATATAGACTGCACATTGTTTTCCTGCCTTGTTCGATTTCATTTCTGGCCTTATGCTCTGTTCATTTCTTGCTGAAGGCACCCTATGAGTTACTAGAAGAGAGACTCAAGCATTTCTGGGCAATGTGAATCCACTGGGGCAAAAGATTCAGCTCCTGCACTGGAAGAGTCCAGCAAAGGCAAACCATGTCATGCTGAGTCACTTCTGAGGGACTCCTTGGGGCCCTTCTGGCAAGAAGTGGCTCAGCTCCTGGCTGTGACCTTATCCCAGCTCACACTGCTCTCTGGAAAATTCTGCTGGACTCCTTTGCTTCCTCCTGTTCTGCCCCAGAGATGAGAATATGGGGGCAGAAGTTATGCAGAATCTTTTCCAGATCCCCAAAGAAAGGCACAGCAGAAAATTGTGAAAGTAAGTGTTGGATTTAATAAGACACAATGAGGTGAGCTCTAGAGACAGCAAATACTTCCCAACTCCCTTCTGATGCTGGAAACCCCCCATCTTTCCTCAGCATCACATAGAACCAGTGGAATTTATCCGAGTCACTCTGTGCAGACCCTTCCTATAGAGAGATCTATCTTCTCCTTTTATGATGGAACTCTGTTTCTGACATTATACCCTATGGCACAGAGAGCACATCTGGGCATGGTGCACTCCAGCTGATTCCATCACTGCATTTTTTCAGGGATAAGGGAAGGGATTCTCAAGCCTGATATGCAAGGCCCCACAGAGCAGATTTATCTAGCCAAGGTCAATACCTTCAAAGTCTTTGGCAAGGCTCCCACTACAATTCCCCTCTCTTCACAGACTCTCCAGGTACCTTACAACATCAGGAACACACTTTGGATATTATCGTCCATTGACATTTCCCCAGAATCTCTGATTAATGGGGTTCATCTGCTGTAACAAGGGGGGGATTCCTGCGTCACTAATGGAAGAGGGGCTGATGTTGGCACCCAACAAAGTGTGGCCTGGGAGGGTTTTATCCCCATATCCATCCAAGCATACAGCCAAGGCTGAGAGATGTGAGCTTTAGCCTGTTGGAGTGGAGTGGAATCGTTGGTCAGAGGCTGCATGCAGAAAGACGAGGGTGGGGTGCATTGTCTGAATCTTCATCAAAGGAACAGAGCATCTTGGAGATCCGGGCACACATTTGATTCCGGTTGAGACTCTTGGGGTCTCTGTAACTGTGCCTCCAGGCTGCCTGTTCGTTTCTCCCGCGAATTCAAACACTCGTGCCCACTAAATCCAGTCACCCGTCCCGGCGCCGCTGCCGGCCTTTCTCGAGCGGCGACAGCACAGCGCCAGGGGCAGCCGCAGCCTGTGGGTCCCGGGGCTCGGGGAGCTCTTGGGGTGCCGAGTTCCGGGGCAGCAGCACAAAGCCCGTTCTAGCTGCCGGGTTTTCGGAGATGTGGCAGCGCCGGGTACAACCGACGGACCAGAGATCGCAAGCATCGCTCTCCCCTGTCCGTCTCGTCCTGTCTCTCTGTGCTCTCGCCTGCCCATGTCGCCGGGGACACAGCAGGCAAGCAACGGTTATCTTCTGTGCCAAAGGAGATTTCGCAGCAGTGCGCTCACCGCTTACGTGTCTGCATCCGGGCTAAACTACAGGTCACGCAGAGCCCAAACCCCGCTACCCGCGAACAAGCGCCCAGCACTCGTAGCCCGCGGCAAGCCCGAGTGACGCCAGCGCAGGGCGCAACCCCGGGGCGGAGCTGGCGGCGGCGGCGGGGAGGAGGCGGCGCGGGCGGAGCAGAGCCGGGGCTGGCGGGGGCAGCGCGGCGCGGGCGGCGGAGCGGCGGGATGCGGCAGTGCCGGGCCGCGGGGCTGGCGGGGCTGGCCGCGGTGCTCCTGGGTGCGCGGGGCTGCCGCCGGCGGGGCCGGACTGCGGGGCTGCGGGATCGCACTCTCCTTTGGCCGTCCGAGTTCTTTCCAACTTTGTGACACCCCTTCCTCTCTGCTGCATTCAGCCCGGCTGCCTCCAGAGAGCTCTGTCCACCCGTCTTTCCTTTCTCCCTGCACCATGCGTTCTTTTAGAATTCCCTTCCCACACCGCTGCCTTCTGCATGGCCTTTTCCTCTGAGTTGCTTTTCCTAATGTGTCGGACCACGCGTGAAATTTTCTGTCGGAGCAATGGAATTTTCTGAGTTTGGTCTTCTTTTCTTCTCAACAGTGGCTGTGAGCAGAGCCCAGGTGCAGCAGGAGCCGGCGGCAGAGACCAGAGAGGGGGCCGCAATCAACATCACCTGCTCACACCCCAGCATACAGTCCAGTCAGGATATCTACTGGTATCGTCAGCTCCCGGGCCGAGGACCCGCATTCCTCGTCAGCGCTTTTAAAGGCTCCAAGGAGGTGCCGGACCCGGAGGGGCAGCTGTGGGTGTCGGCAGACCGCCGCTCCAGCGTCCTGCGTCTCGCCCGGCCCCGGCTCGGGGACGCGGCGCTGTATTACTGCGCCGTGGGCGCACGGAAGCGAAGCCGGGGCTGCGGCCGGGCACGAACCGCTTGGGGCGGGGCGGGGGCACAGTGCCGTCCGGGCCCGCAGGGGGCGCTGCCTGCGTGGCCGCCAAACTCCATCCTGACCGGGGTGCGCCGCCCTGAGGTCTCGAGGAAAATGTGCTCCGCACCCATAGCAGCCACTGCTGCAATTTTGGTTAGAGTTCCATTTGAGGTGGGCAGAACGGCAAAACTGTTAAAATAAGCTTTGTTGGACTACAGAAAGACATCCCCACAGTTCTATTTCATCTCCTACTTTCTTGTCCTTCTCCAGGGCAGTACATATGAGAGCAGTAGGAGCCCTATTCAGCTGCAGAGGCAAAGGTGAAGAGAGGAGCTTCTATGGTATGTCACAACCTCTCATTTTTCAGAGAGAGGAGAAGGATCTCCATAAACCTTCACTCTATACCTGTCATGAGCAAAGCTATTCTATGTGGGCAGCTCTGAAGGCCACACATGGTGGAAAAGAATATGAAGGACATAAACTAAAATGCAGAAATATTTAATGAATGTTTAAATAGGAAAGAGAGATTACCTCGAGCAGAGGCTCCACAGTGCAGTATTTACATGATCCCATGTTTGAGTTCATGCCGGGCATGTGCCTCATTTTCTAACAGGGTATGTACTGGTACTGGGAAACCTTGCATATTGGAGGATCATAGGAAAAAGATATCGTAGGAAAAATGGAGAGAGAAATAGGTAGGTCGATTGAGAAATGAAAGCTGAGACACGAGCCAGGTTGTCACAAAGCACGGCATTGTCTCTTCCTGTCAGTATTTCCTAGAGCAGCTGAGAATGGTCAGGTATTCTGAATGCAGGGGCTTGAAGATTCCTTCTTGATCCAGCACCGTGTTCGTGGCTCATGGACGAATTTCTCCAGGACCAGTGGCTTCAGCAGGGCGGGCACCTTCTGCCACAGGAGCGGCTGCCCAAGCCGGACAAGTCAAAGCCCCCCGAGGTGATGGGCACGCCCTCAGAGCTGAGGATGCGGCCAACAGCAGCGGAGGTGGAGGAGCCCACAACGGTGTTCTGCGGGAAGGAGCTGAGGATGGGTCCGGGCAGGGTCACCACCACGGGAGAGGGCTGGATGATGATGGTGGAGGGCTGGCACTGCCTGACACAGGGCTCATTGCAGCTGCTGGCCAGAGGGGTCGGGCCGCAGGGCCGGCATGGCACACACTGGGTGTAGCAGGACATGACTTGGGATTGGAGGTGCACCTGGGAGAGAGGGATAGAAGGAATTAGAGCACGAGGGTATGTGAGGGACGGCCAGGGTTGCCTGTCACAAAGAAGGGAACTGCTAAGGCTGGAAGAGAAGGCTGAGAAAGGAGGTCACATCCCTTCAGCATGCCAGGACCCCACTATTAGTTGTCTGACCCAGAAAGACTCTTTGAGTGCACAAATCTACAGTCATGTCAGCAATGTCACAAGCACTCCCTGAGCAGACTTTATGCCCTCTATGGTCTCCAATGGCATGGAAATCCACTATGTGATAGTATTTCTATTGAGGCAAGAGGAGAAGAGAGGGTTTCACATTACCTGGTTTCCAATGAAGAGAAGGCAAGAGAAGTGAATGGAAGAGCTGGGAACTGGGCTGCCTTTTATATTGGTCCTTCATCGCTGCAGGTCCAGAGGCAGAGTTGACAAAGGCACTAATTTTCTGACTAGGTAATCTTCAATGCAAGCTGTCCCTTCTCATTATGTGGGCTGGTTTTTGATTTGCTGCAGTGCTACCTGTTCTTTTCCAGATTTATGACGTGCCCATTCTCTAATGAAGGATTATTTAAGTGTTGTGATTTAAGGCTCAAAGATTCACAGTGTGTAATTGCGTTGGTGAGGCTGATGCCTCAGCTCAAGTGGTGATCAGGTGTGGAGGAGGCAAGTGAAGTCATCCTGGTTCAGTGCAGTGGGGCTGTTGTGATTTCATGATTTTTGTTATTGGTGTTACTCATCATAACATCATGTAGTGCACTGAGGTTTAAAGAGTTAATTGTGTAGTTCCGAGGATTGTTGATAGTTCCGTTACCTGTCTCATAAGAACTGAAGCCAATGTGAGTCAGACAGTTTATGTTTGAGGTTGTTAGGATGTTACAGCTGCCAACATAAGCTGTGTTGGACACCACAGAGACCTTCACACATTTCACAGAATCACAGAATGGCCAGGGTTGGAAGGGACCTCAAGGATCATGAATCTCCAACCCCCCTGCCACATGCAGCACTACCAACCTGCACATTCAATACCAGAACAGGTTGCCCAGGGCCCCGTCTAGTCTGGCCTTGAAAACCTCCAGGGACAGGGCATCCACAGCCTCTCTGTTCCAGCACCTCACCACTCTCATAGTAAAGAAATTCCCCCTGACATCCAAACCTAAATCTTTTCGTTTTCCCACAAGTTTCCCTTGTCCTGCTGTTATCTACCCTCTCAAAGAGTTGACTCCCCTTCTGTTTATAGGTTCCCCATAAGAACTGAAAGCCTGCAATGAGGTCACCCCGCAGCCTTCTTTTCTCCAGGCTGAACAAGTCCAACTCCCTCAGCCTGTCTTTGTAGTAGAGCTGCTCCAGTACCCTGATCATCTTTGTGGCTCTTCTGGACCCTCTCCAACAGCTCTCTGTCTTTCTTGTATTGGGGGCCCCACAGCTGGACACAGTGCTGCAGATGGGGCTGCAGAAGAGCGGAGTAGAGAGGGACAATCACCTCCCTGTCCCTGCTGGCCACCCCTCTTCTGGTGGAGCTCCGGATACCATTTGCTTTCCAAGCTGCAAGACCACGCTGCTGGCTCATGTGAAGTTTTCATTCATCAGGACCCCTAGGTCCTTCCCTGCAGGGCTGCCCTCAAGGACCTCTCCATCCAGTCTGTGTGGATGCCTGGGATTCCTCTGGCCCAAGTGCAAAACCTTGCACTTTATTGCGTTGAACCTCATTATGTTCACTCAGGCCCACCTTTCTGGATGGCATCCATTCCTTCCACTATGCCAACTGCACCACTCAGCTTGGTGTAATCAGCAAACTTGCTGAGGGTGCACTGGATTCCATTGTCAATGTCATTGACAAAGATATTGAAGAGCACTGGTCCCAAGACAGAGCCCTGGGGAACGCAGCTCTTTACTGGCCTCCACCTGGGCTTAGAACCATTGATCACCACCCTCAGTCTGCTGTTTTTCAAGCAGTTTCTTATCCTTCAAGTGGTCCACCCATCAAATCCATATCTCTCCAATTTGGAGATAAGGAGGTGGTGAGGGACCATGTCAAAGGCCTTGCTCAAGTCCTGCTAAATGACATTGGTTGCCTTTCCTTTGTCCACCAATGCCGTCACTCCATCATAGAAGGCCTACAGGTTGGTCAAGCATTACCTTCCCCTGATGAAGCCATGCTAGCTGTCTCAGATCACACACTCATTCCTCATGTGATCAAGCATGTCATCCAGGAGGATCTGTTCCATGGTCTTCCCCGGCACAGAGGTGAGACTCACTGGCCTGTAGTTCCCCGGGTTCTCCTTGCTCCCTTTCTTGTAAATGGGAGTGATGTGACCCTTCCTCCAGTCATCTTGGACCTCACCTGACAGCCACCACTTTTCAAATATGATGGAAAGTGGCTCAGCAACCACCTCAGCCAGCTCCTTCAGAGCCCTGGGATGCAGACATCTGGCCCTATAGACTTGTACACATTCAGTTGCATGAGGCGGTCTTGGACTTGTTCTGCCCTTACAGTGAGGGGAGATTTACTGCCCCAGTCCCCAGCTAGAGGTTTAGGGCTGCATGGCTCAGGGACGTGAGAAACATTAGAATCCTGGCTTTCGTTGAAGACTGAGGCAAAGAACTCATTCAGTACCTCAACCTTCTCTTCAATCGTTGAAGCTAATTCTCCTTTTACATTTACCAAAGGAGGTACATTCGTTTTGGCCTGTCTCTTCTGGCCAATGTATCTGTAGAATGTCTTCATATTGTTCTTCACATCCCTTGCCAAGTTCAGTTCTGCCTGCACCTTGCTTTCCTGATCCCACTTCTGCGAGTCTGGATGGCATCCCTATGTTCTTCCCAGGTGACACACCCTTGTTTCCAGAGCTTGTACGCACCTTTCTTTGCCCTCAGCGTGCCCAGCAGGTCCTTGCCAAGCCATTCTGGTTTGCTACTTCTTCTGCCTGCTTTCTTATTCAGAGGGATGGAGAGCTCTTGTGCTCTCAGAAAGGCATCCTTGAAGAGTAGCCAGCTCTCCTCAGCATCTTTGTCTTTGAGGACAGCATCCCAGGTCTTGGCCAACAATCCCTTGAACAGCTTGAAGTTTGCCCTTTCGAAGTTCAGAGCTCTGACCCCACTCTTTGCTAGGCCCACATTCCTCAAGATCACAAATTTTACTAGGGCATGGTCACTGCAACCCAACCTTAACACCTTTAATGATCTCTTCCACATTGGTGAGCAGCAGTTCTACTTCATCTCCTGCTTCCCCTGTGCCGCACTAATGACAGCAGTGGAGCTCTGTTCCTAAGGACCAGCAGAGTGTCTTGCACCCATGTCATCCCTCACAGTCGTTGCTTTTCCTGTAAGCAAAGCAGAGTTGTGTTATCCTTTTTCAGGAACTTAGAGGGTAGTTGTGGGCAGAAGCACCACAAGGCAAAAGCCGATAGCCACTTGTTCTGCCATAGACAGGGGTATCTTCTTCATCTGCAGGGGACAGTGACCAAGAAAGCAGCCTCTGCAGTGTATCACATCATGCCATTCTTCTGGAAATGGAGAAGGATCTCCTTAACCTCTCATCTTATACCTCCCAGGAGCAGAGCCATTCTCCCTGGGTAGTTCTGGGGGCCATAGGCAGTGGAAATAAACATCAAATGCTCAAATGAGATGCAGAAATCTTTAATGAATGTTTACAGAGGAGAATGAAATCCCCCTCAGAGGAGGCTTCACAGTGCAGGATTTGCCTGATCCCATGTTTAAGTTCAAAGACTGAGTTCATGCAAGACTTATGCCTTATTTTCCAGCACTGGATGAGATCGTTCTGGGGAACCTCACATATCAGAGGGACACAGGGAAAAAAAAGAAAAAAAAAAAAGTAGAGAGAGAGAGAGAAAGAAAAAAGGGAGAAAGATGTAGGTAGGTGGGGAGAGGAATGGAAGCAGAGGATCAGACATCAGCCAGCTTTACTGGAAGGCCAGGCATGCCTCTTCCTGCCAGTACTTCCTAGAGTAGCTGAGAATGGTCAGGGATTCTGAATGCAGGGGCTTGAAGATTCCTTCTTGATCCAGCACCGTGTCCATGGCTTATAGACGGATTTCTCCAGGACCAGTGGCTTCAGCAGGGCGGGCACCTTCTGCCACAGGAGCGGCTGCCCAAGCCGGACAAGTCAAAGCCCCCCGAGGTGATGGGCACGCCCTCAGAGCTGAGGATGCGGCCAACAGCAGCGGAGGTGGAGGAGCCCACAACGGTGTTCTGCGGGAAGGAGCTGAGGATGGGTCCGGGCAGGGTCACCACCACGGGAGAGGGCTGGATGACGATGGTGGAGTTCTGGCACTGCCTGACACAGGGCTCATTGCAGCTGCTGGCCAGAGGGGTCGGGCCGCAGGGCCGGCATGGCACACACTGGGTGTAGCAGGACATGACTTGGGACTGGAGGTGCACCTGGGAGAGAGGGATAGAATGTAGAAGGAAATGAGAATATGTGAGGGGCAGCCTGGACAGCCTCTCACAAAGGAGCCAAGGAAACTGCTAAGGATGGAAAAGGTGGCTTGGGACAGCAGGTCACATCCCTTCATTGTGCCATGGCTCTGCAAAGAGCAGTGTGACCCAGGGAGACTCTCACAGGCTGTATAAATCTAAAGCTGTGTGAGCTGTTCCAATCATTCTCTATGCGCACCTTATCCCGTCCATGGTCTCCCATAGCAAGAACCTCCACTATCTGATTGACTCTTGAGGCATAATCTGACTTTGCAAGAGGAGGAGGAGAGAGGGCTTCACACTTACCTGGTTCCCAGTGAGGAGACAAGAGGATGGCAGAGCTGGGATCTGGGCTGCCTTTTATACTGGTCCTTCATTGCTGCAAGCCAAGAGGCATCACTGGAACAGGCAATAATTTTATGACAAGCCCACAGTGAATGCGAGCCATCCCTGCTGAGTTTTGGTTTCCTGTGCTGCTTTTTCATTTCCAGATTTTTCCTGTGTCCATTCTCCAATGAAGGATTCTTTGAAGTGCTGCAATGAAAGGCCCAAAGATTTGTAGGGCAGGATTGCACTGGTGAGGCAGATGACTCAGCTTTAGTGCTGGATGGGTCCAGAGCAGGCAAGTGACATCAACCTTGTTCTCTGCAGTGGAGCTCTTTGAAGTGTCATTCTCAGGATAAGCTCCTGAGAGCACCAGCTGGATACCCAAGGCTTCCTGTACATGAGGATGTGCCTCGTCCTTCTCTTTATCTGCCTCCTCAGCTCACTCTGATGGCCATTTGATTTGGCTTTCCACCGTGTGAGTTTTCTGCTGGGATTTAACCCTATGCCATGTAGCATTGTCCTCTAGAAAACTGTTTTTGATAGTTTCATTTTGTGCATTCTCTGTGCAATCTGTCAGTTCACAAAAAATGTCACAGATTCATAGAATAATTTGTGTATGAAGAGTCCTGAAAGATCGTCTAGTTCCAACAACTTCTACAAACAGGGATTCTTTCCATTGTATGTGGGTGGCTGGACTGGATGACCTCAGAGGTCTTTCCCAACCTTGGTGATATTCCATGATTCTATAACTAAGGATTTATTCCTCAGCTTTAAGAGATCCACCCTCCAGTGCCTAGAGGGCTGATGGAGTGCAAAATTGTTCTCCAAGGCCATCTCTGTGCAGGTTTATAGTCCAGATAGGGATAAACTCAAGGATGCAGCAAAGTGGAAGCCTCTTTTTCTCCATCCCAACTCACTCCAATGGTCTCATGTGATCAAAAGTCCAGGTAGGTGGGCTGGACTGCTGGGTTTCAATTCTCTTTCTCATTCAGCTGCCATCTGGAGGAATTGTTGGACCTATGTACACAGAGTTGGCCTGACCATGTGCACATGCCCAATAAGTCCCAAGGCCCATTTTTTTCCCTCTGTGTACTGGTGTCAGGAGCTGTTGCAGCCTGGGTACCTCATCGTCTGAAGAGATCTAGGGAAGGCTGGAGTGTTTGTGTTTAGCTGATTAGTGCCAGCAGTCCAGATCTAGTATTTCTCTGAAGCCTCCCATCAGTTCCCAGCACCCATCCGCTTCCTTAAGACCTTCCTGTTTCCTGACCCAGGGGGAAAGAAGTTTTGTCATGTGTTTATGATTGTTTGGTTATTGTCATAACATCATGCAGTGCAGCACAGGGTCACTCCCAGTTTAAACAGGAGATAATGCTCCAGTTCCATAGATCGTGAATAGTTTCAGGTACCTGCTTCTTAGAAGAACTACGTACTACATACCCCAGAAGACTTTGGTTTTTTGTGTTTCTGTTTTCCATTCAGATGGAAAAGATAACAACCATCCACAAATCACTTGCCCCCTTTTCAGTCATCTCATCTCTGTTGCATGTGCCATCTTGTCACAGCATCAGAGAAAGGCCTTTGGCTTTTTATTTGATTTATTACCTACAATTCTAAGTATATTGTATTATATTGTACTGCAGTGTGATATCTTGTGTTCTGATACCTTATTTGGTAAACTAGGTTGTTTCTACACAAATTGTTCCCACTGCTTTGTTTTTCATCCCATCTCTCTGCCCTTTTCCCCCTTTTCCTTTTTTCTCTTTACCAGGGTGTGGGTCTGCGTGGACCCCTGTCTCACTAGTAACAGAACCGGGCCGAACCAGCATGTAAACTGTTGGCACTGTGCTTCTCAGGTGCTCAGCTGTACTTCAAGCAACAACACAAGACAAGGAAGGCACAGCAGGTGCCATGGCAAAAAGGCCATAGCGAGAGGCAGTCAGGATGGTTGAGGTTGGAAGATGGTGACATCCTGGAACAGGAAAGAGGCCCTTGTTTTAGTCACAGACATGCAGCTTCAGAAGAGGCACAGCCCCCTGGGCACTGGGGACAACAAGCAATCCATTGCAGTGGCTCATCAGAAGTGGCTGAACTCAAACCCTATGACTACAGGAAGAAGAAAAGGTGTGTGAGAATTAAGGAGACATCTCCCTTGGATAGTGGATTCTCCAATTTGCTGAAGTCTTGTGTTTGTTTTCCTTGGCAGGGATTACCACCTGGGATGCTGCAGAGGGACTCCCAGGGCTTGTCTGCATATCTGTGTTACCATCCCATGCAGCTCTTCCATGTGAGCCTGCTTCCAGACAGCGGTGACTTTAACCACCTCATTCTGCCCCAGGGGCAGAAAGGCTGGACACCAGGAATTCTGGAGATTTCTGAAATCAAAGGGAGACAACATTTATAATCCAGATAGCTGATGGAGTGATTAAGAGAAACTGTTTATTGGAACTCTTCCTCACAAACAAGGAGAAACTCTTGAATATGGTATGAAGAAAGGACAGCCTTCACTGCAGTGACCATGAGTCTGTGCATCTTCAGATCCTGAGAGGACTGACCAAGGGCAGAATTGCAATCATGAGCTTCAAAAGAGTCATCTCAGGCTCCTTAGGAAGACATGTGGCAGAAGATGGAAACTATCCTGGAGGGGAAAATGCTGGAGAGCTGGCTAATCTTTGAAGGCAGCCTCCTCAAAGCACAAGACAAGCCCACTCCATATCCATGCATATTTAAGAGACACCAGCATGCAGTCACACGGAGCTCCTCTCTGAGCTGAAGAGAAAAAAAATGAAATAAGATTTAAAAAGAGAAAATACACAAAAAGTGGCAGGCTAACTGTGAGTAACCCTGAGACTGCTGCCCATGCAAAGATGCAGTAAGGAACACACAGCTCAGCCTGAGTTACTTAACAGGGAAGAAGAGTGAGAAAAGCGTCTGTAAGTCCATTCTTGCAGCAAAAAGAAAGCTAAGAAGATTGTATGTGCTTGGCAACATGAGAAGAGGGAAATAGTGAGAAGAAAATTCCTAACATAATTTACCCTTCTTTTTCCTTCATTTTCATAACAAGTCATCTAGACAGACCTACAAGGCCCCTGAATTTCATTCATAGAATCCATGGGAATTGATATTTTTAACCCTGTAAAGGAACAAAACGTTATGGAGAACATAATCCAGTTGGACATACTTGTACCCTTGAGATGAGATGCCAAGCCTCCAACAGTTTTTGTTGATAGATGTAGTGATGCTGCTCTCCTTCACTCTCAGGGGTCATGACGCTTGGGTGATGGCAGCCATCACTAGGAAAGAACAACATGCATCAAAAAAATCTTTAGAAAGACTGAGAAAGGGAATTCAGGGAAGTCTGGCCAATTGTACTTCATTCACTCCTTGATCAAGTGTGTGCCTTGGAGCAGATGTCTCTAGATGCCATTACATGACATCCGAAAGACAGCGAGGTGGTTTGGAGCAGCCCGGGGCGGAGCTGGCGGCGGCGGCGGCGGGGAGGAGGCGGCGCGGGCGGAGCAGAGCCGGGGCTGGCGGGGGCAGCGCGGCGCGGGCGGCGGAGCGGCGGGATGCGGCAGTGCCGGGCCGCGGGGCTGCTGGGTGCGCGGGGCTGCGGCCGGCGGGGCCGGACTGCGGGGCTGCGGGGGGACGGGGTCGCGAACGCCTCTGTACGATTGGCATCTTTCTGACCTCGTGCACCTCTCTCTCCTCCTGCATGAAATTTCTGTGGAAGAAAATGGATTTTCTGAGTTTGCTGCTGCTTCTCTTCTCGGCAGCGGCTGTGAGCAGAGCCCAGGTGCAGCAGGAGCCGGCGGCAGAGACCAGAGAGGGCATCAGCATCAACATCACCTGCTCACACCCCAGCATACAGTCCAACGAGATCATCTACTGGTACCGTCAGCTCCCGGGCCGAGGACCCGCATTAATCGTCAGCGCCGTTAAAGGCTTCAAGCAGGTGTCGGACCCGGAGGGGCAGCTGTGGGTGTCGGCAGACCGCCGCTCCAGCGTCCTGCGGCTCGCCCGGCCCCGGCTCGGGGACGCGGCGCTGTATTACTGCGCCGTGGGCGCACGGGGAGACGAGCCGGGGCTGCGGCCGGGCACGAACCGCTTGGGGCGGGGCGGGGGCACAGTGCCGTCCGGGCCCGCAGGGGGCGCTGCCTGCATGGCCGCCAAACTCCATCCTGACCGAGATGCGCCGCCCTGAGGTCTCCACAGAAACGAGCGCTGCACCCATAGCAGCCACTGACTGCGTCCAGTTTGAGTCAGATAGTTATGTCCGAAGTGAGTAGGACAGCACAATTGATAGCACTTGCTATGTTTGACAGCAGAGGGACATCCACACAATTTTATTCCAACTTCCATCTTCACATTCTTCCCCTCTGTCACAGTGATGAGAGCAGGTGGAGCTCTGTTCTTGGGAGCCTGCGGGGTGGTTTGCCTCCGTGGCCTCCCACACACTCCCAGTTATTCCTGTGAGCACAGCAATGTCTTTGCTCTCTCTTTGCTGGATGTGTGAGGGTCATTGTTGGAAGAAACATGGCAAGGCAAAGGCTGGTGACCACATCTAGTGCCCAAGAGAGGAGCCTCTTCAGGATGTCACAACTTCCCACTCTTCTGGGAACTGAGACTGGTTTTCTTAAACACTCATCTTACAGCCAATCTCCCTGAGCATCTCTGGAGGCCACACACAGTGGGAATCACAGAATCATAGAATTGCTTGGTTAGAAAAGACCCTCAAATCATCATGTCCAACTGCAACCTAATCACACTACCCTAGTTCTACTAACTAACTA